TGTTTTCAGTACTGGAGAATAAAAGATACATTCTTAGATGTTTTTGTTAGTACGTGAACGTTATCTTACACATTTTATCTCCCCAACAGATTAATTTGAAATAAGTTTATAATGCATGTTGGCTATTCCCAATTCAGAAGAGCGCACGCACAGCCTGTGTCTGTGAATGCTCCTCATACTCGCTCCTGTCTGCCCCACGCGGCGCGAATCCCGCGTCACGGACGAGCCGTTCATGCTTGCCGCACTCACGCAGCCTTCTCGTAATGCTCGGTTATACTCGCACCTGGCTCCGCACCCCAAGTCTTCACGAGTGTATCTGGCAGTATGGATGAGGCTTGACGCACGCGTGCAACCTGTGTCAACTCACGCCTGGCTCCGCGTTTAAAACAAATGTAAATTCAGTCTAACTGCTTGCTAGTTTCACTTGGATGAAATGAAACATTCAGCACATTTTCCACTTGTTCTTAAAATCCCAAATACTTAAAATGAATAAATCAGCCTATGCAACATATGTAATACTTTAATAATTGACTTAAGAAATACAGTTCTTCATTTATAAAAAATAAACAAATATTTTCTGTGAAATTCAGTAATTAAGTTAATTCTGTAAAAGTAGTTATACCATTATAATCTTTACTGCTGAAAAACAAACAAAAAAAACATAGAACCCCTCCCAAAACACAATAAAAAATGTAATGGATTTCAGGGTAATAATGGGAATTGTATTGGTTTTAATGTAACCTGTAATGTGGTGTCTAGTTGATGGATTTTATTGGTGGGATGTAATCTGGCAGATGGCAACCAATAGAACAACAGTAATTCCTATTGGAATAATGCCCAAAACAAAAAGGAATTTTGTAATGGTTTAATGGAAACTATAAGAATTTCTGTGATTTTCTATTGTTTTTTTCAGCAGGGTAATGATACCCATACTTGTGCTGCACATTATTGGCAATGTTGAGCTGAAGCTTGACTTTGCAAATTTAAAATCGCAAATCAAATCGCAATCGCAATATCTGTCAAAAAAAATCACAATTTGATATTTTCCCCCAAATCGCACAGCGCTACGTCATATCATTGTTCGCTACAATTTTTTCGGTCTTTTCGCTTTTTCAGCCGAACACCGAAAGAGCTTTTTTTTGTTATTTTCAGCTGAATAATTTCGGTTGCTGAACATTAGGTGCATCCCTAGTGTAAAGGGTGAAATGTGATGTTTATCATTTTACAAGCTTTTTTTTTTTTTTTCGTGAAAAACTGTATTGAAACTTACCAAAATCTGACAAGTGCCTGCCCCAAGGGCTACCAGGGATTTTTTATTTTTTATTTTTGCAAGCCCTGATATGTATGGTTGTATAAAAAATTATAATTTATATTGACATGTGCATATTTATAATGTCATATAACTTCTAGATTTTTGATTTCCATTGAGCCATGGTCTGATCTGCTTACATTCTTCTTGGCACATTCAGTTTTGGATTTCACCACATATTGCATGTTGTAGCATGTGGCAAATTCTACAGCCACGTCTTCATGTTTACAGAGTGATGCCTACCTCACACACATGCGGATGAAAGGAAAGAATACAGTTTCCTGTCACTTCTATTTTGAGTCTTGCTGAAAGAACAGCAGCTCAACAAACAATGTGTTGATTTAATTCAGTGCCCACTGGCTGCCATTTGCCCTTCCTAACGCCCACTAGAATTAGCTGTTTAGCCTCCTCTGTGCACAGTAAATCTGATATCAGAGATATCGTAGGACAGATGTTATTTTTACAGATGGGTGGATGGCTGCTGTGTAAAGGTTTTCTGTCAAGGATCATACCTCACACTGAGCTGAATTTTAATCTAACTATCCATCCATCCATCGAGCAGATGCCACCAATTATCAGACCACAATCAAAATCCAGGCCCAAAGTTTTATATAGCAAGTAAACGAAGCCATCAATGTATCTTACTTACAAGACACACTGAATGTCACACAGAGATGCATGTTTAGAGTCAAAAATGTAGAGACTTAGTCCTGTCCTGACCTGCCCTAGAGCACGGTGTTTATCGTTCACATTTATCTCTTGTCATTCTTAGTCCACTCTGTCCGGGGTCATGTAGTCAGCAGGTCCACTCTGCCAGACTAGCATGATTGAGCTTTGTTGTATAGTAATCCACATTCACTCCGTCTCCAACCTGCACAGAAGAGTTGACCAGGTGTTTTTAGTTTGGACTGGGCAAGAGGGTGGAGTAAGCAGCTTAATGGGTAGCTTTGTGGACATAAATGAAATCTAGGTCATACACAACCAGTATTAGACTAATCCACACATCTTGAATACTCCTTTTGCGTAAACCACATCATTTCTGATCATTCTGTCAGCTTTAATAGTCTTTTTATTCAGGTCATTTTATTCTTGTCCCAGACTGTTACAAGCCTGAATGACTGAATGGAATCAATTGGAATGACTTTATAACTGGATTACAAGGATAAAAGATTGTAAATCTATGACAAATATGGCAAGCAAATTTAGAAACCGACATAGTAAGCAGGAGAAGAAGCAATAGGCCATTTGGTGCCAGCTCATTTCACACGGACGGGCCCAGCTGTCGATGTTGACGACACTGCAGTGGTGGATACCGCTCATACTGTTCATCCTAAAATATCCCAGCACTCTGTCCCACGGACCCCAGTGAGAGTTTACTTATATTGGGATCATCCTTTGGGAATCCACTGACTGAAATCTGCTCCCTCTGATTCAAAAATCCACTCCCAGTCTCATGTTCCAAGTCCCACCTCTTTTTTTCATTGGGTTTTCCAGGTTGAAGGGAAATTCTTGATATCTACTAGCAACAGCTGCTCCTTCAGGATGATCTAGGCAATATAAGAGTCCTGCAGGATGTTTACAGAGCATAACTTTCATGACCAACTCAAATCTATGAATGGGTGGTATTAAGCTTTTCTTCGGGAATGCTTTTCTGTGCTCCTGAATTAGAGGGCAGTGTCTTCCAAATATGTCCAGTAAGATACAATAAAAGGATTGTGTTTGTCTTCAATGTTTAAGGTCACGTCACAGCTTGGTTATCATACATTACCATTCAGAAGTTTAGGGTTGATACTTTTTTTGTGTTTTTGTAAGAAGTCTCTTAGGTTCACCAAGGCTGCATTTATTTGATGACAAATACAGTAATATTCTTACAATTTAAAATAACTGTTTTGATATATTTGAAAAGGTTATTATTCTTGTAATGGCTGAATTTTCAACAGTCCAGTCCAATCTTCACTGATCCTACATAAATCATTTTATATGCTGATTTGCTGGTAACATTTCTTATTATTATCAAAGTTGAAAACCGTTATGTTGCTTAATATTTTGTGGAAATATTAGTATCCATTAATGAATAGATTTTAAAAAAGAAAAGCATTTATATAAAAAAAGAAATATTTTGTGTGTTCTTGCTTTCACTTTTGATCATTGTGTCCTTGCTGAATAAAATTATTAATTTAATAAATAAATAAATAAACAAACAAACTGACCCCAAAACCATTGAACGGCAGTTTAGGCTAATGTGTGACTGTGGCACACATTTCTGAATGAAAATAATGGAAACACTGAAACATTTACAAATAAAGCAATTCCTCATTTGCTTTTTCATTTAAAAGTTTTAACTCTCTGATTTGTCTCTGATTTGCAGAGCTTTCATTGGCCCAGAAGAAGTTTGCTCAGTGCCTGGGTGAGTTCAAATTTGAGTACATCGGCGATGCCAAAACTGACGATGAGAAGTGCATTGGTGAGTTTTTTTTGTGTACATATTTTCATTTGCGCACATGCATACATTTGCCTTTATTTTAATACATGGCTACTAGTGTGATGTGGGTGAGAGTTGTGCGTATGAACTGTTTGTGATTCATCTGTTTGTTTCAGACGGGTGGCTCACATGCTGAGAAATATGTAAATAGTCATGCATAGATAAACTTTGCTCATTGTCTGCATGTGTGCCATTTCAGATGAATCATTGCAAGAATTCTCCTCCTTTCTTAGAAACTTGGAAGACCAAAGAGATCTAATGGTGAGCACAACCAGTTGAGACTTGCATTGAAAACACACTCTGTTATACATTTCAATCAAACCCTTGCTGGCTTAAAAAAATAAACAAACAAATAAATAAATATATATATATATATATATATATATCAGGGGTGGAACGGTTTGCGTAAAAAAATCGAACCGTACGGTTCTCCACACACGGTTCGGCACGTGCCAGGGCCGTGGTTCAGCCTAAATCTGACAACGCGTCTGTAATATGGTTTGCTATAAATAACACGTAAAACAAACAGGGTTTGGGTAATATATGTTTCTGTTGATGGATGCACATTCTGGCTTCCCAATACATTACAACAACGTGGACAAATCATTAACTCTTGTTCAGTGTGACTGCCGTATGCTGGAATATGAGCATTTATTCAGTCATGACCCGGGTGCTGATTAGGGATGGGTATCATAAGGTTTTAACGGAATTACTACTCTTACCGATTCTGCTTATCGATTCGGTACTTTAACGGTATTCTTATCGGTACTTTTTGTTATATATATATATACAGTGGGGCAAAAAAGTATTTAGTCAGCCACCAATTGTGCAAGTTCTCCCACTTAAAAAGATGAGAGAGGCCTGTAATTTTCATCATAGGTATACCTTAACTATGAGAGACAAAATGAGAAAAAAAAATCCAGAAAATCACATTGTAGGATTTTTAAAGAATTAATTGGTAAATTCCTCGGTAAAATAAGTATTTGGTCACCTACAAACAAGCAAGATTTCTGGCTCTCACAGACCTGTAACTTCTTCTTTAAGAGGCTCCTCTGTCCTCCACTGGTTACCTGTATTAATGGCATCTGTTTGAACTCGTTATTAGTATAAAAGACACCTGTGGTAAATTCCTTGGTAAAATAAGTATTTGGTCACCTACAAACAAGCAAGATTTCTGGCTCTCACAGACCTGTAACTTCTTCTTTAAGAGGCTCCTCTGTCCTCCACTGGTTACCTGTATTAATGGCATCTGTTTGAACTCGTTATCAGTATAAAATACATCTGTCCACAACCTCAAACAGTCACACTCCAAACTCCACCATGGCCAAGACCAAAGAGCTGTCAAAGGACACCAGAAACAAAATTGTAGACTTGCACCAGGCTGGGAAGACTGAATCTGCAATAGGTTAGCAGCTTGGTGTGAAGAAATCAACTGTGGGAGCACTTATTAGAAAATGGAAGACATACAAGACCACTGATAATCTCCCTTGATCTGGGGCTCCACGCAAGATCTCACCCTGTGGGGTCAAAATGATCACAAGAACTGTGAGCAAAAATCCCAGAACCACACGGGGGGACCTAGTGAATGACCTGCAGAGAGCTGGGACCAAAGTAACAAAGGCTACATCAGTAACACACTGCGCTGCCAGGGACTCAAATCCTGCAGTGCCAGATGTGTCCCCCTGCTTAAGCCAGTACATGTCCAGGCCCGTCTGAAGTTTGCTGGAGAGCATTTGGATGATCCAGAAGAGGATTGGGAGAATGTCATATGGTCAGATGAAACCAAAATATAACTTTTTGGTAAAAACTCAACTTGTCGTGTTTGGAGGAGAAAGAATGCTGAGTTGCATCCAAAGAACACCATACCTACTGTGAAGCATGGGGGTGGAAACATCATGCTTTGGGGCTGTTTTTCTGCAAAGGGACCAGGACGACTGATCCGTGTAAACGAAAGAATGAATGGGGCCATGTATCGTGAGATTTTGAGTGAAAACCTCCTTCCATCAGCAGGGGCATTGAAGATGAAATGTGGCTGGGTCTTTCAGCATGACAATGATCCCAAACACACCGCCCGGGCAACGAAGGAGTGGCTTCGTAAGAAGCATTTTAAGGTCCTGGAGTGGCCTAGCCAGTCTCCCGATCTCAACCCCATAGAAAATCTTTGGAGGGAGTTGAAAATCCGGGTTCGCCAGCGACAGCCCCAAAACATTACTGCTCTTGAGGAATGGGCCAAAATACCAGCAACTGTGTGTGAAAACCTTGTGAAGACTTACAGCAAACGTTTGACCTCTGTCATTGCCACCAAAGGGTATATAACAAAGTATTGAGATGAAATTTTGTTATTGACCAAATACTTATTTTCCACCATAATTTGCAAATAAATTCTTTAAAAATCCTACAATGTGATTTTCTGGATTTTTTTCTCATTTTGTCTCTCATAGTTGAGGTATACCTATGATGAAAATTACAGGCCTCTCTCATCTTTTTAAGTGGGAGAACTTGCACAATTGGTGGCTGACTAAATACTTTTTTTCCCCACTGTATATATGACAAATTAAGAACTGAATTAACATTGCTTTATATTCTGAAATGTAAAATAAATATTTAATGAAATGAATATAAAACATAAATTTGTAAATGCACCAGTGTGCAGGCATTTTTAGTGTTTTATACATAAGATAAGATACAGTAAAAACATGAACAAAGAAACAAAGTAAACCTCGGTACGTACCTCGGTTCGGGGGTCACGGTTCGATACGATTTCGGTATAACAGGAACAAAATAAATAAATCTACTATGCTCGGTTTCTTTTCATTTATTTTGAACAGACAGTAGTACAAATTAAAAATGTTTCTACCTAGATGTGAAAATTCTAAATATTATTACATTATGTTAAATATATATATAATCTGCTGTACATATAGGCCTATTCATACAAGGAATTAATTTTTGAAACATATTTGATTTAGTTTACAAATAAACAAGACAAAAAAAATGGCGACACGTAACGTAGCCTATATATGCTGAGTTTCAGTTCATTTTTGTGACAGGCTTAATTTGTTCACAGAAAGGAAACTCTAATGGCAGAAAGCGTCATCCTATTTGTTTTCTTTATTTTACAAAAGCACAATGTTTGGTTTTCATTGTGAGTGTACACAAATAAAAGCAGACCTTTATACAGTGATGCATTATTAATAAGACAATAAGTGTTTAAAGTTGATTCTGCTATTATAAGGAAACAGTTGAAGTGATCGCGCCGGCACACACACACTCACACACAAAACACATAAGTTCCAGCATTGCTAACTTGACAGCGCAGTTGGTACTTTATCAAAATAAAATACAGTGAACCAAACATCAGCGCATTCAGATACGTTACATCGCAAATGTGGAAATATTATGGAATATTTGGATTTGTGCCGAATGAGAGAAATAGGATACACGAGCACAAAGCTCCATTTCGCAAACAGTTGAGTGCACAAGCCTTTAAACTAAAGTATACTCCTTTGTCAGTCTGTTAGAGACGCATTCAGAATCAGCACATGGTCACTGTCTAGTGGGCTTTGTTTTTAAGTGCGCAACTCATGGCATTCGCTGTTCTTCTGCTGGCGGCCGGTTATCAAACAGCGTTGCATTGTTGCAGATGCCCCCTTCTGGATTGGGGGTGAATTGCCTGTATTCGTTGTAAGGCCTCATGTACCGAACCGAGATGTCCGTACCGTGACGGTTCGGTATGAATACATGTATCGTTCCACCCCTAATATAAATATATATGTATATATATATATATATATATATGTGTGTTTTTTTAATCATGGTCATTTGCGTGCAGAGAAAAACACAAACACAAAAATCAGCCTTAACATTGAGTTCAACACATACTTAATAAAGTGACATCAGTCGTCTGTTCGTCCCTGAATGCTTCAGCACTGTTTGAGTCACAGCCACAGGAAGTGAGTTACATTACCATCAGTTATTTGTGTCCTCTGTCTCAATGACTCTGTGATTACACAAGTCGACTACTTATGTTGAGTCATGTCACCTTAAATGAGTTGTTTAGGAACTGTACTTTCAAACCCTCTGGTTGAACATCCAATAGCACCTGATTTAAGTCCATTATATTTCAAAGACTAATAGCCATTTTATCTGTAGTTCATCTGTAGTTTATCTGTAGTTAGTAAATTGCTTTTACAGTGTAAAAAATAGTTTGATTCCTTAAAAAAGGCATTAAAAATCAGTTTTACCTATTACTGTAACCGATCCCTTCACATGATTTGTACATTCTTAATGTATGAGAGGACTTTTTAGTCTAATGCATGGTTAGCCATCTAGGTAGGAAGGGCTCATGTTGCATGTAGGTCATGCTTGTATTTATTTAGTATGCAGCATTAGAGAGCCGAAGGACCTGGCCATGACTCAAAGTGCAACAGCCGACACTTGTTTTGAGCTCAGATTTGAGCCCCACCCGTTCATGACACTGCAGCAGGCCAATGATGTTGTGGCCCCTCGGCACACTGAAGGCATGCGTGGAAGAGGTGGAGCCTACAGGCCCTGACAGGGTCAGAAAGACGGGGTAATCATAGAGCAGTGGTGCTCATTCTGAGTACTAACACTCATGCAATGACTTTCTTTTGTTATTTCATTACCTCATTTATAAAGATATGTTTTTATATAATAATAAACATTATGAAAGCCTTGTTAAAATATGGGCTTTTTCCTTTTGAATTCTCAAAGAATGTTGTTTATTGCTGCAGATTTGGAAACATGTTCCTGAACTTCAAGAGGCTTGTTCATTTACTTCAAAAGTATAATCATTTACTTAAAAAACAACATAACCGAATTGTGCAGATCTGCATTCATACTATTGTACAAAGACCCTGCAAGGATTTCAATGCGTTTGCATTTGCTCACAAAATTTTTGCATTTCCCTTTAAAACTTTGCATTCACTCACACAACTTTAGCAATCACTCACAAATGTTTTGTTTTAACCCAAGAAAACTGTTGTGGACAAATGCAAAACTGGTGATGGAAATAATATATGATAAATGATTTGTGTGTTTGGGTCAAAGGCAGTGGTTTTAGCAGTGGGCTTTTTTGAGTCAGACTGGTGTATAATAAATTATGTTGTATGTTTCTTGGGGTATACAAACCTTTTTTTGGTTACACTTTATTTTGATAGTCCAGATCAACTATAAGTAACTTTGCAACTACATGTCAACTAGAATAGGGCCTTTCGCACCACGGGAACCTTTTCATAGTACCAGAACTAACTGTGGAACTACCCACGTTTTGGCGTTTTCGCACCGCCAGAACTGGGTGCGATTTTAGTACCGGACTGCCTTTTTCGAGAACCAAATTAGCTCCTACTCCGGAGCAGGGTCTAACCAGCACAACGGGTACTAATCGTGACGTAAGTAGACATTGATTGGCCAAACGCATACGGAAACGCCCTCACCCACCATGATTTAAAACGCCGTGTAAACATACTGTAAACATTGTGTCAACTTATTTCGCAAGTATGGAGAACAGCGATAGATGGACGGACGCTGAAATGCATGCACTTGTAGCAAATGTAGCACTGCCAGTTGTCATTGGAGATTCTTGGTCCTCCTTTCCGTTCTTTCAATCGCTTTACGTATACGTCGACTTTCCATGTCCATTATTGTGAAACCTGCGAGACACAACAAAAACAGCTCCGATCACAGCGTCCTCCATCCTCCTGTTGTTAATGTTGTTCTTCTTTGTTTCTGTTGTTGAACGCCGCGCACAAATGACGTCGCTGTCGACCAGCTTACGTCACTTCCTAGTACACACTCTCGGTGCGAATGCAACCCTTTAAATGGTACTGGGAAATAGTTCGCGCAAAATCATCCCAGTACTTTAGTACTGTACATTTAGTTCTGGAACTAAAGCTGTGCGAAAGGCCCTGAAGTGTCTAAAGTGGACTATCAAAATAAAGTGTTACCCTTTTTTTGTAGCAAGTGCAAAATATTTGCAAGAATTGAGTGCAAAAGCATTAAAATATTTTTCCTGCATTTCTGTGTTGGTCTGTTCATTTCTAGGGAATACTTGTTTCAAAATGTCAGATGGCTAAATGAACTGTTTTGCCTCGGGTGATGAAATGGTGACACCTTTATTGGCATTTACAGTTAAAACCCAGAATGTGTTTGTGCAAGTTTTGATTAAAGGAAATCATCCTGTTACTGGTAATGTTTGATAAAAAATACATTAAATGATCAAATGTCCTATATCCAATGAATTTTCTTTCCACAGATGAGAAACATCACAGAGACACTGATGAAGCCTTTAGAAAAGTTTCGGAAAGAGCATCTCGGCTCAGCAAAGGTAAAAGCTTAGCTCTACCCGTCATCTCTCACATTTAGGATGTTTGCATTTAACAGATAGAAAACTGTACATTTATTGAAACCAAACTTGCTTCTCGTTCCATGTATTAAAAATAGTAAGTTCCTCCATTTCATATGTTCTCATGCTATCTTCAGGCAGAGAGAAAGAGGTATGAGAAGGAAACAGAGAAGTACTACAGCTCACTAGAGAAACTTTTGAACATGTCAGCAAAGAAGAAAGAGCCACAATTACAGGAGGTACTTCACATTTCATTCTTCCCACACACAAGATGGATGTGTAATGCAAACTATTTTCAGAAATGGTCATTTCCTTCTGTATCTCAGGGGGAAAAAAAAGGATTTATGCGTTAAGGTCAATGGTTTGCCGTATTCTTTACAATACTGTTTATTGTATTGTATATTAAAGTCTGTTGTTATTTCTACCAGATTTATAAAGCCAGACATTTCACCCAAGTCCTCTCTAAGCCTGAGTGCAGTGTATTATACTGCTTAAATCTTGATCCAGTGATGTTGGGGGAACATAACCTTTTATGGCATGCCCATCATGCCTGTATGTTACACTGTATATACACTGAACATAAAAAGCACTAGAGTCTGTTGATATTTTTATGGTGGGCCATTCTTACTGCGGACTATATGGGACACTGGACCACAAAACCAGTCATAACGGTCAATTTTTCGAAATTGAGATTTATACATCATCTGAAAGCTGAATAAATAAGCTTCCCATTGATGCATGGTTTGTTAGGATAGGACAATATTTGGCCGAGATACAACTATTTGAATATCTGGAATCTGAGATGAATTATTAATGATTAATTATTAAAAATAAATTACTGAGAAAATCGCCTTTTGTCCAAATGAAGTTCTTAGCAATGCATATTACTAATCAAAAATTAAGTTTTGATATATTTACAGTAGGACTAAATATCTTCATGGAACATGATCTTTACTTAATGTCCTATTGATTTTTGGCAGAAAAGAAAAATCAATAAATTTGACCCATACAATGTATTTTTGGCTATTGCTACAAATATTCCCCAGCGACTTAAGACTGGTTTTGTGGTCCAGGGTCACATATGACGTGTGTTTGGGTCAAGGGCAGTGGTTTTAGCATTGGGTTATTTTGAGTCAGACTGGTGTGCATGATTCCTAGAAATGTTGAAGAACACCAGGGACTACTCAGTTATTCGCCACTCCATAAGACACTTAAGTTATCATGGGCCATGTTCACATGTCACTGCAGCCAAATACGTTTAGGGATGAGTGTTTTGTTTTGTTTTGTTTATGCTGTCTCTCTCCACAATAGTCTCTCCCACCTGTCCTACATGTGCACTTCAGAAAAGGCACACTGTTTAATGCATGAGCTAAATGATAATAAACAAAAAATAATAAAAATCGTATTTATTATATCTCCATCAAGTAATGTTATATTAGGAACTAGCTAATGTTACAAACACCATTTGGGTTACACTGTTGGCATCTATTTCTCTTGTTTACAAGAAACTGTGGTTATCAGGATGTCAGCTGCATAAATTTGAGTTATTCCTGTCTTCCATAAGCACCAGAACACTTAACACGCACAGAACAACAGCTTTAGGAATTCATTCTCACATTGAATTTAATTTAAATTCAAGTCTTTTTTTGTAAAGCTGTGAGATTTTATGATGGAGATCACCAAGGAATGTTGCCAAGAGATGTCAGTGTGATATACTGTATTTAACTGTATTTGCACACCAAATGTTCCCTCTAAATGCTTTTTCTTGCTGAGCAACACTTTTCTCTATTGGGCGGACATTTCGGCCACCTGAGCAAAAACATTCTTTATACCAGACCTGTACAGCGCGCGCACAAAAAGTGTGTAACTTTTAACGTTAATGTGCTATTTGTATTTAATTTGACCCGTGACTAAATGATGTACATTTTAGAAAACAAACTGAAGCATTTCAACTGAGATCTGTAAGTTAAATATTTGTAAAAAACGTGAACGTGAATTCTTCTATAGCTATCTAAACATCCCTATGAAGTACAGTTTGCACAATACACCTGTGTGTGACTGTAAATGTCTCTGAGTTTTGTTACCATTCTGTGTCCATCATCCGCTATTTCCAGCTCTTAATCAAGCCACTCTTCTTTAATACATGATGATGTTTTATTTCACAGCATTGCGTTTGCATTGGCTCTCGATTTGAGCTATGTCGTCCGTAACCATTAAAATATTTGGTTTCTACAGCGACTCACGGTGCGTTCCAAACAGGATATATCGCCCTCCAAAGGGCACTTCGGAGTGAAAACAGTCATGGTTTCATATTGAAGGGTCGTTCCAAACCGAAGTGCTCAAAACTGGCCACGTCAAAGTGCACTTCGGAATGAAGGATTTCGAAGGGTACAACTGATGGACACTTCGGGCTCCCATGATCCTTTGCGCAGATTCTTTGCATGATGACAGCGCCTCCGTGTGAGCACGGGATGATTCAACCCTTCAACCCTTCGAAGCTCTCACTCCGAAGGGTAAACCCTTTAAAGGGATTAGGGCATAGGGATGAGCCCTTCCGAATGGAACGCAGGGTCATTTGGCATGCATCATTCTCTTTCTATGAAACCTGTAAACCGCATTCACTGGTTCTAAGTCTATAGCGATATAAACTCTATAGCTGTTTACCCGAGCATTGCAATTCATTCGCTTTCGCAAATGGCTTTCCGAACTAATTTATGCGTGTGCGCAACACATTATTTCTTGCGTGCGCGCAGCTTAGAGGGAACATTGTTAATAACTATATTACAGTAGTTAGTGTTTAGTACTGTTTACAGTTTGCATCGTCCAAGTTGTTTCTTGGTTTTCAAATATTCAATTTTCAGAATAAGGCCCTCTATATTGTAAAGGCAGGCAACACACAGTCAGGTAAACGCAGGAAAATTACAGACAGCTTTTTGAAAAACCCATTTCACAACCCAGTCACTTTTAACTTTTATGTGATGATTTCTCTCCCTGTTTTCTTGGACCTTTTCATCTCAAGTGTTACAGTGCTTTTTTCATGCTGTCTGTCTTTCAGGCTGACATGTCGGTGGAAGCGATGAGGCAGCACTTTCAGGAGTCGTCTCTGGAGTATGTTTGCAAGCTGCAGGAGATACAAGAGAGGAAGAAGTTTGAGTGTGTCGAGCCTGTGAGTGCATGACCTTTTGTCCAGATTGTCATTCAACTTGATTCATTTCACCATTGTTTGCTGTCTTGTTTGCCTGTCGACAGCATCTGATATGCTGTCACTTACCACAAAAAAAAGAAAGAAAACACATTTACTGAAATTCACTCTCAATGCAGCTTCACCAGAATAAATGTTACAAATATACATTTCTGTGTATACATATACACTGTTTCATAAGTATTCAAGTTGTTGTGTGTAATTTCTGCACCATTAGCAGCACCAAACAAAATAGCAAAAATAAGGGCTATGTTCGGAATTAAATAATACTATCTCTTTGGCATGTTGTAGGCAAATATAATGCAAAACTGATTAAAATTTTTTTTTTATTTCTTTACTTATAAAATTATAACTGGACACTATGTACATACAGATAAGTAAAAAAAAAAATTTGTCAACCGTAACCATATATACAGTACCATTTGAAAGTTTGGGGTTGGTAAGATTTTTTTTTTTAAAGTCTGTGAAAATCTTTTATGCTTACCAAGGTTGCATTTATTTGACCAAAATACTGTTAAATATTATCACAATTTAAATTCCTATGACAGTAATATTTTCGTCAGGGCAAAGCTGAATTTTCAGCAGCCATTACTCCAGTCTTCAGTGTCACATGGTCAACATTTCTTATCGTTATCAATGTTGGAAACAGATGTGATGCTAAGTATTTTTGTGGAAACCATGAAACATTTTTTTAGGATTATTTGATGAATATAAACAACTTTTGTATGATATAGAAACTTTGGTAACACTTTACTTGTCTTATAGCCTTTATATATGATGCATTATAAAAGTAGTTTTAAATGCATAAATTATGCCTTGAAATGCACCCTATAATGCATTGTATGATCTCGTGAATAATTGTAACTGCATACATTATAATACTTATAATATTTGTTGTTCCACCTTTTAAAAAAGTATAATGCATTAAAACACATGGAAAACAACCCTACATATATTATAATGCATTTTAAATTTGTTTACAATTATTTATGAAAAGATAAAATGCATTACAATGTACATTATGAATAAATTTATAATGCATTATACATAAAGGCTTTAAGTAAAGTGCTACCTAAACTTTTTAAATGTGAAAGTCGTTACTGTCACTTTTAATCAGTTTAATGTATCCTTGCTGAATAAAAGTATTAATTTCTTTAAAAATAAATAAATAAAACATTGACCCCAAACTTTTGAGCTGTAAGCCTACCTTATATCAAATTATTAAATGAAGTAGAATATTTAGTGAGAGCTGTAGGTGCAGCATGGTTACATTTGGTTCAGTTACCACATACAAAATCCTCACATAAATATAGGCGGGTCCAAGCCATTTACAAGTGATGCAAGTATTCTTACTAATTCATTCACTTTGTGCACACACAATTTGATAGATTGCATAAGCAAATTAGTATAATTTATATGGAATCTTAAGCAAATATTTACCTGATATTTACATTGACTTTTCCAGGTTATGGACACCTGTATGACTTTCTACGTGAAACTGTTTTTTGCTTTGAATTGGATAATGGCTAGAGATTTAGACATTACGACTGATTATATAAACTCGAGAATATTAGTTGTCATTTTTTTTCATTTCTCTAATTCCCTTCTTCCCCCTCTCTCTCGTACAGATGCTGGCGTTCTTTCAGACTGTATTTACTTTCTATCATCAGGGATACGAGTTGGCCAAAGACTTTGACCATTATAAAAAAGCCCTTCAAATCAATATTCAAAATGTAAGTAAAAATGTAATAGTGTTTTTGACTTTAAAACAAAACTCTAGATCTATTTTTAAATGATTTATGTAATATATATTCCATTTTGTTTCAACATTTTTCAATGCATATTTCCAACAACTATCAAATACTTGTTTGCCAAGTACATTAAACAGCTATAGATACATTTTTACAGTGATTCTCCCAAGATTTATCAGTCTTCTTCTGGTTAACACTATTAGCTTGCAGAGTGACATGGGAAGAGAGTTACTGAGACAGGATACAGCAGCTTTTTGAGAGGACCAAGGCTTCCAAGGGAAACTTAAAGGCCTTTGTTTGCATTGACCTTCCATTGTTTAAATTCTAAGTCGGAAGTTTGAGAGCCGATTTCCCTCCCCTGTCCTATTTGATTGGACCACGTCAGTATCCCTACTGGTGTTTTGTTTTGAATCAGTTATAAATCAGTTGTGATGGTCAGGGTCAGAGTTCTGAGGATGTATAGCTTGAAAACATGGGTCTTAGATTAGCATGATGGGATTTTTAGAATGCACTGGGAAGTTACTCATCTCAATGGATTCCCAGTTACCAGGCTCTTACAGAATCTGTAGATCGTCATTGTTGATTTTGTTATTATTTTATGTTTGTGCCACTGCTTTCAGACACGGAGTCGTTTTGAGGGCACACGCTCTGAGGTGTACGAGTTAATGAAGAGAATCAAAGAGTCGCCACAGGAATACAGACAGACCAGCCCCATCAGCAGTGAGGGCTATCTTTACGTACAGGAGAAACGTACGCAAGATACATTTTATGATGTAACACTGGGGTGCCTATTATCGTTTACTGACTGTCATGTCATGTGTCCTGTGCTCCGCTGGTTGCATTGCTGATAGCTATTGCTGTTTCCACAGGACCTCCTCCTTTCGGATCCAGCTGGGTGAAACGCTATTGCACGCTTGTCAAAGAACAGAAAATTCTACACATGAAGACATTTGACCAGAGATCAGGCGGGAAGCTTGTAAATGATCATCACACTTGACACATTAGTCATGATAATGGCATGGTTCATAAAATATAAATGTGTAGCTGATCTGCTGTTCACAGAATGTTCTTTATCCATTCAGGGTGAGACAGAGTCTGTTACAATCAAGTCTTGCATCCGCAAAACCACAGACGCTCTTGACAGGAGGTTCTGCCTAGACATAGAGATCACAGACCGGTATGTTGGACACGCACCTCCAGCTGTGATGGTAACTGTGAATGAATGTAATGATGCATTTCTGATTCATAAGAAATCAGGTCATTTAATTAAAGATTACTACTGACAATCCTTTTCCTAATTTGGTGTTCCCAGTCAAAAATGGCCGACCTTTCAATCATTTCTTGTGAATCACTCATGCTATATTATCACCAAATCTTGGATTGAATCTTTTTGTTTGAGATGCATAAGCTCGGATCAATGAAGCCTACAATCGGTCAGCCAAAAAGAAATACAAAACATGTGCTAATTAAAAGAAATCAAGTTGATAATAAAAAGACTCCATCCAATATTTGGTGATAATAAAGCATGGTGAGAAATTTATAAGCTTCTTTTTTCCCCCCGTCATTGACTGGAAACATCATAGGTGTAATGGTGGGGAAATAATCCCCAAGATCAATAATGATCTTGAATCTTTTTGTTTGAGATGCATAAGCTCGGATCAATGAAGCCTACAATCGGTCAGCCAAAAATAAATACAAAACATGTGCTAATTAAAAGAAATCAAGTTGATAATAAAAAGACTCCATCCAATATTTGGTGATAATAAAGCATGGTGAGAAATTTATAAGCTTCTTTTTTCCCCCCGTCATTGACTGGAAACATCATAGGTGTAACGGTGGGGAAATAATCCCCAAGATCAATAATGATTAATTTTTGGGGCAAAGTCAGTAAGATTTTGTACAATATGATAACATGATAACTAGTGTTTCGTGAAAATCCTTCAGTCAAAATGAGTGTTAAAAAAGTCACGTTTTAGTCACTTACTCGTGACTCACCTTTAAGCTGATATTCTTCAAGTGGATTTTGCTTAAAATAGGAAGCACACTTAATTATTCCTTTATGATTATTATTAGAGAATTTCATTTTAAACTTGCTAAACAAGAAAGGAAAAACACTAGAAATGTAAACCCCCTCTGAAACTACTGGGTTTAACATGAGAGTGTGAGACAAATGAGATTCATTGGCGCTGAATCTCATACGTCAGAGGGTAAGGAAAATCCAAATATTTTGATCATCCAGGCTACACTAAGGACCCTCATTAATCAAAGCCAAAGCTGACCTGGGCAGAGTGTTATGATGAACGTTAATCATGTTCATCTTGAGGCTGCTTAGTGGAATCTTTTCAGTGGTACATCAGCACATCAGAATGTTACCAAATTAGGAGATGAATCAATCTCAATGTGAATATGAATTTGACTTCTAAAATCGAATGTATTTCCAAGTGAAAATGAGAAAATATAGGCTGGGATGTGATTTTAGCTATTTGGAATTGATTAGACACTTAATAGGCACCTTAGAAGTACGTTATGTATATGTATGCATGTGTTCATTACTCCTGTTGGAGACTCTCTTATTCACTTTATTAACTCATACACCTCAAATCATGTGCCCACAAAACAACTCTGTCTGATGCAGAGGCATAACCTTAAAATAATAGAAACAGGAAATGGAAAGACGCTTCACTGGTGATACATATTGATAAAACCTTTGCGTAGATGTTCAAACACAAATCATGCACAATAAGACCAGCAATCTACAATAAAAAAAGTAAATTTGAGTTGTGTTTTATTTTGTATGTTGTGTGGTTGTTTGTTTTTCTAGACCGATCACAGTCCTGACGGTCCAGGCACTCTCAGAAGATGACCACAGATTCTGGATGCATGCGATGGGAGGAAAGGAACCGGTGCGTCAAACCTTCACTTCAGCTTCCAACAGCTCAATGACAACAATTCTCTAATTCTCAGTTGACAAAACCTGATTAACTTTTGGAAAGATAGCTTTTATAGCTACTGTTCAAAAGTTTGCAAAGTTATTAAGAAGAAATTAATCCTTTTATTCAGCAAGCATTAGAAATAGTCCAAAGTGACAGTAAAACTTTTACGTAGTTTCAAAAGACTTTTATTTCAAATAAATTCCATTCTTTAGAACCTTTTATTTATCAAACATTTCAACTATTATTATTATTGTAATTATTATGATTACTGAGCACCAAAGCATCTTATCAGAATGATTTCTAAAGGATCATGTGACAATGAATACTGGAGTAATGGCTGCTGAAAATTTAGCTTTTGCCTTGACAGAAATAAACTACACTTTAAAATATATTCAAATAGAAAACATTTACTTTAAAATTGTAATAACATTTCACAGTATCTTTTTGATGAGCAAAAACCTTACCGACTTCAAACTTTTGAACAGTAGTGTATACTTCAAAGTGTTTTAATGCTAATTTATGGTGTCTTGTTTGGTATATAAATTCTGTGTAGTGTGTTTTATGCTGGTCTGGTTTGTGTTTTCCGATATTTATCTCTCACACACAGATGCAGTATCTCAACCGGACACATTCACGAGAAAGAGGAAGTGAGGAAACTCAAATTAATATCAGCACTTCAAGTTTGCCTTCAGTTGTAGTGCCTATTCACAAAAATGTTATTACTTGTATGTTTGTATTTATTGCTGGTACATAAATTGTGATATTTATGATATTTGTGTATTTCCATAGTTGATGCCCAGTTGGATGACGTGGGAATAAACTTTGTGAAAAATTCAATAAATGCCATTGAAACCAGAGGTACCTCTACATGTTTTAATACACAAAATAAAGGAATGCTAAATGTTTCAGGCAGGATTTATATTGTCTGTCAAAAAAAAAAAGTCCATCTGCTCAACCTTCAGTAGTTCACATAGTGTAGTAACACCTTCTGAACACTAGAGGGCAGAATGATCTACCAGTTTTTCTCAGCCCACACCAACAACCTGTTGTGCTTTGTTCAGCTTAGTGTGCTCATGTTTAGTTGCCCAGATCAGCTGGGATGTGAATAGAGTTACCTAACTGCTATCACAAAACGTGTTTTTATTTTCACAGGTATTAATGATCAAGGTCTGTACAGAGTTGTCGGGGTCAGTTCAAAAGTACAGAAGCTTCTCAGTTTAATGATTGGTAAGTTCAGCCTTATTTGATTGCTCTAATTGTTTCTCATATTTAGGTGATTTACTTTGAAGCCCTATAATTGTATCTAGAGCCGGTGTCCTGTTGAGTCTCATTGGCATTCAGACATTCATCTTGTCTGGTGTCTGTCTGGTAGTCCCTTTGTCCTGTCCTTTAGGTGACACCTGACTCCATTACTGCAGGCAGGCAATCAGATTTCCGGACACTTTCCATCTCTCTCACTTTTCCTTGATCCTATTTCGCCTCTCCCGAAAACACAACACGCACTGATCACCATCTCATACTCTATTGTTATCTTGTCCCATACTCCGCTTTCTTTCTTTCTTTCTTTCTTTCGCTCTCGATTTCGCTCGCTCTCCTGCAGTCATAGCATGAGCTGGTGTCTCTCTGCTTTGAATGCTAAACGCTGTGTCGAGTCGGCAGGCTGCCTGAGCCCCTGCTGCTACATGAACTCAGCCACTCTAAAGTCTAATAGCCATTAACACTCTTTACGGATCCACTGTCCTCATCTGAGAACAGTCTAAGTCCTTGTAGTTGGCTCATGAACTTGAAACCTGCCAAATATCCAGAGCACAACCAACTATCCATTTCATTTTCAAATTCAGAGCACTCATTCTTCTTTTTTTAAAGTCTATACAGTTATTATGTAAAGAATTGTAAGATCAGATCAGAGTGGAATGACCAAACAAAATTCCATACGTTCATTTCCAGATAAGTCAGTGCCACAGCGATATAATCGTAGTGCTAAATTAAAAGCTGTGTTTGTTTTCTTGACAGACTTTTTCTCACCAAAGTGACTCAGGAGGATGAGCATACATTATGTTGTATTGAGATGTCAGTAGAATGCAAATTGAGTGTTAAGATGAAACCACAGAGTGCTAACAAGATGTCTGTATTGGAGCTGTGATGTGCTCACAACACTTGAGGATCTATTGTGCTCACAGGGACACAGGTTGAGGACTCCGGTAGTTGGCATGCCATTTTAATTAAGCAATAAGTCACGAGAGACCATTCGATTGTTGGCATTTATCATGTATTAACAACATTTGCGGAACATGATCAGGCTTATAATAATTCCTCATTTAAACAAAATAATCACACAGAGCCATTTCAGTGTCACATTTCATTTTGCCTTTATTTAGAGTGGTCTAACCACTCTATATTCACTATATTCGTGCCAGTGGCATGACTATAGAATGTAACTTTAGACAGAGGAAGTTAAGTAAAAAAAAGTATTAGCTTAGCCTCAGGAACTTGAGGAGGGGAAAAAATGCTGCTATATTTGTTTTCATTTTTAACACATTTAACAGCCCATATTAACGATGGACATTATAGAAAAATAAATACAGTTTTTTTTTTAAAAAGAAAGAAAAGTTTCCAAAAAATATTAATTACATTAATAAGAAGAAATATTTAATGTGCATCAAATCAGCATATTAGAATGATTTCTGAAGGATCCTGTGACACTGAAGACTGGATTAATGGCTGATGAAAATTCAGCTTTGCCATCACAGGAATAAATTATATTTTAAAATATATTCAAATAGGTAACAGTTATTTTAAATAGTAGCGTTTCACTGCATTGCTGTTTTTACTGTATTTTTGACCAAATAAAGGCAGACTTCTGCAAGACTTCTTTCAAAAACATTAAAAATGTACATGTGTACAGATTCCAACCTTTTTAACAGTAGTGTGTGTACATGTGTATTCCCAGCTGTCTGAGGGTTGAGCTGAGGGTAATGAACATCAGTGTTTTAAAAGAAAACAGAACAGTGAAAGATTAAATGTTAGTTTCTGTGCTGTTTATGTCGTCAACATTGGACTCTATTATAATATGTAAACACACTTCAGTTTCTCAGTGGAGTATTAAATAGTGGCATCCCATCGTCTTTATAGGCATGCTTGTTTAAAGGGAGTTTAAAACAGGTCAGAGCAGGCTGAATTCAGCAGCGTGGCTGAATACAATTGGACTTCAGATTTAAGACAGGGAATATTTTCATGCCTTTGCATGAAAATGGCACAAAACGGTTCAGACTGACTTTGTTTTTCGTTTTGACTTTGAATTGACTTCAATGGCTAACATTTTGTACATATGTGACCTTAGACTTTTCTGATTGTCTGCTGTGTTCTATAAAAACTCACTCAGACATTACCATGGTTACAGCTAGCCAGACAGAGAGGTGATTGTCAGTGCTTCGGTTGAATTCTTCAAAAGTGTCAATGTGTTAATGACTCTTTGTCCATCAGGAATGTATTTACAGATCTAGATTTACGTGAGCAGTGGTACAACAAAATAATGTCTGCCTTTCATATCGTCCACTCCCTGGCCTCAGACCTTTTTACCCATCTTGCTTTCTTCATGTCTTTGTCATTGGTCTTGGATCTATACTGATCAAGTCCTAATCAGGTCCCTAATAAGGCAACATTATAACTATCTTAGAAAAGTTTTACCATGAGTTTATCATTTATTTATGCACCTTTCAAATACGTTTTGTGCTTTTTTGATTGTACCATGTTTCTGTTGTCCCAGACATTTCAAAATACACTACCATTTAAAAGTTTGGGTTCAGCAAGATTACATGGTAATATATTCAAATAGAAAACAGTTCACTTCAATTTTAACAATATTTCACAATATTACTGTTTTTACTGTATTTTGATTAAATAAATGCAGCCTTATTGAGCATAAGAGATGTCTTTGGAAAAAAAAAATTACTGGCCCAAAACTTTTGAACAGCAGTGTTTATTATTACAATTTAAAACTTAAAACATTTCTAATATTAATGCAAAATAATTGTGACCAACATACAACTGTGGCGTTATTTATACCACAATTATAGTTTTTGCTATAGTTTTTAAGGATCATTTGAACTTGAATTATTTATTGTTTTGTGATCGGTAGATGAGAAGAGCAGTGGAATAGATTTAGCAGCCAGTGAGGACTGGGATGTCAAAACCATCACCAGTGCTTTAAAACTTTACCTGAGGTGAGTTTAAACTTTCTACATTCTGTTTCTAATAAATAAAAATGACATCAGCAGAGATGTGTTAGAGGAGGTTGTCGTAGGTCTGGTCGGTGCTATAAGTCAATAATGGCAAGCCTATTAATGCTACATGTACAAAGGCAGAAGATTTACTAATTAGTTATTTTGCTTTTATGAGGGCCATGTGTACAGAAATGTATTATATTCAAGTTCTCCTGGAGCAGCCTGGGGTTGACCAGCCCTGGACTTTAACCACTACACCTCACCAGCCTATACTATTACACCCTGTGATGTTATTGTCAACTAAATCTATTAAAAATGCTCTTAACTGAAATAAAGCTGAAATTAAATAAATTATAAATATTAGATCAAAAACTTAAAAAAGGAAAATTACAAGTTTAAAATGAAGTATTAAATAAAATTATTATTTATACTTCATTATTAATATTTCATTCATTCATTTAATAATATTTATTTTAAAAAGTAACATTTTAATAGTAAAAACGGAACTATGGGAAAAGGAATGGAAGTATGGGAATTATATATATTTATTCCATGGTCTGTCTGAATACTGAATTCTGATTGGCTGGCAGGTATGCAGTAAAACCATTTAATGCACAGGTAGTTCCAAGTCAGTTTAATCACCGTTCCATATTAATGTGCTGCTTTAATTGATGCACACACACACACACACACACACACACACACAGAGGGAGAGAGAGAGAGAGAGTTGGACTTGTTGTCAACGCTTCCCCGCGTTAATGCACAGGTAGTTCCAAGTCAGTTTAATCACCGTTCCATATTAATGTGCCGCTTTAATTGATGCACACAAACACACACACACACACACACAGAGGGAGAGAGAGAGAGTTGGAGATCGCAGATTGCGCTGCGCGCACACAAACTTGTTGTCAACGCTTCCCCGCAAATTTTATTAATAAAATAGCCTAGATACTAGATCGCTACATTATATTCCTCTCGCTGTTTTTGAAGTAATTAATTGTTTGTAGAGAGACGCGCAGACGCAGGGAACGCACACACAACTGCCATCTCTCTCTCTCGATCGATAATTAATTGAATGTATTATTTCATCTCGTTTCAAATCGTCTGATTTGAAGCGGGCAGAATGCTAGAGCTAACGTAACCTAAGCCGTAACTGACGAAAATATCTGTCATTTTTGCCCATAACGGTCAAATATTGCGCTGCAAAGAGCAATACTAGTTTTAACTTGTCTATAACTTGGCAAATGACCATGGAATAAGCGGGATAATCAATGGCTTGCCGTGCATTAAAGGATTTTAAGTGCACTTCACGGAGACAACCACTTGGCCTCCACGTCGTGCATAAAATCCTTTAATGCATGGCAAAACCATTGATTATCCCTTACTTATTCCATGGTCTGTCTTAATACTGGATTCTGATTGGCTGGCAGGTATGCATAAAAAAAAAATATTATTATTATTATAAATGGATTTATAATAAATGTATTTTAAATTTACAATTTAGCAATTTATATTTGTCTATAAATCTAATTGTAAGTATTTAAGCATAAACATCTACATTAAGGTTTAATAGGTAATAATATTGCATATTTCATGCCATCTCATATCATTGCATATTTCATGCCCTTTTTTTTTTTATCGTCTACACAGAGAGCGCTACTCCAGAATCTAGAGTTCAGGCCATTCACTGCCTGGTTCATAAACTGCCAGAGAGGAACAGATTAGTGCTCAGCCTGGTTACCAAGCATCTTGCCAAGTGAGTGGAAACTGTTTTTTCTCTATCTTTCTATCTGTATACACAATTTGTTTTGTGTGTACATTCTCCGTTTTCTTTCTCCAACCTTTTTACTTCTCTCGGCCGTCAGCCACTATTTTCTATCATTATTTCCAACTTTCTCCCTCATTCCATTCTTACCCTCAGTACACAAACACACACCTTCCTACAGGCAGCACCCTTAGAAACGTCTGTAGGCTACCTCTGTTGCTGAGCAACAGAGCAAACAGACAGACAGCACTCTGGAGACAAGAGAGAAAACTCCACATGGACTTTTATACCCTCCATGCTGTTATCTAGATCAAAACCTTCTTCTAGAGAAAACAAGCCCTACCCCTCTCCTCTCCTCTCCATCCAGCAACTGCCCACATAGAGGTATGCAACAGCTTTCTGTAAGAGATTAGATCGGGTTAGAGATTTCTAAATAATGTTAGCTATCATTACAAGGCTTTACCTCAGGCCTCACATTTTTATATAATGTGAATATAAGCAAATTGAAGATAAGCGCATAATCTCCCTAACCTCCGGCAATCAGTGACTGGGCAGACGCGTCTCCTCAAAATATAGAGTGGGATTTGCTGGCAGCCAAAGATGTGCAATTGAAAATTAAATTCAGGTTATCCGCCACTAAATTCCTCTTCCATCCACTCCAGTCCTCGCAAAATGCGTTAGGAGTTGGCGCAGTTGCAGACCCATCAGAGATGGAGAGGGAGTTGTTCTGAAACAGGGACAAAAGTTTTCAAACAAAAAAACTCTCTAAAATGTTAATATGCTGCTTTTTTTTCCCCATTTCTGAATTTTCAAACTAGTGTCACTTGTTTCTCAAAATATGCATTAATAACCATTTGCAGAGGAAGAATTGCATTTTGATTATGAATTATAGTGTCACCAAAGCTCTGTTAGGTTTGTAGTACAGTTCAAAAGTTTGAGGTCAGACAGATTTTGTAATGTTTTTGAAAGAAGTCTTTTGCGTTCACCAAGGCTGCATTATTTGACCAAAAATTAAGTATAAAAAAACAGTAATATTGTGAAATATGAATACAATTTGATATAATCATTTTCTATTTTTATACATTTAAAATGTAATTTATTTTTGTGAGGCAAAGCCTGTTTTTTCAGCAGCCATTAATCCAGTCTTTAGTGTCACATGATCCTAACATGAAATCATTATAATCCACTGATTTGCTGCTCAAGAAACATTTCTTATCAGTGATGAAAACATGTGTGCTGCTTAATATTTTTGTGGAAACTGTGATATACTTTTTTCAATATCCTTTGATTAACAGAAAGTTCAAAAGAACAGCATTTGTTAATCTTATGTTACATTATAAATGTCTCTTATTGGGCCGATACCGATAACAGAAAAAATGAGCATTTATCGGCTGATACCGATATGGTGGCCGATATATCGTGCATCCCTACTTTTAATCAATGTCTTGTGTCCTTGCTGAATAAAAGTATTCATTTATTTAAAAAAAAATACTGACTTAAAACTTTTAAACTCTATTATACTCAAAATGTGTTGTTGTTTGAGCTGAATGTAATTCATACAGTATATGCCTACATGAACCAAAATAAAGGGAGAAAAACAGGTTCCATGTCAAATGATCCAAATGAGCAAAGCATAAAAACATCTAGACTGTTTTCATCATGACCTAGGAATGAATGATTTTTATTTAATTTTTTTGTCCAGAGGACGGTAAAGTTACTATTTATTATATATTTTACAAATTTACCTGCATAGACAGTATAATAAGTAATGAAGTCTGACTAAAAATTCTCCATCTGTGAGGCTGATAGCCAAAAGGTTGAGTCATTCAGCATGCAGGTTTTAATTTTCATCCTCGTGATCTTTTAATTACTAAATTAAAACTTCAAAATATCTTCTTTTCAAGTTTTTGACGTGCTGCCAACCCTCTTCTTCTTAATTAAAGTCATTTATGTAATGGTTTTCCCAACCTCTTTTTTTTCTTTTATTTTTTCTATAATTAACAACCAGAGTAAACTCAGCAGAGATATATTATAGTGAGACTGAGGACTTTATCTCTGAAGAAACTTTGAAGTGGAAGGTTACCTGCATCTAGTTTCACAATAAAATGCAAATACAATGCAATAAAACGTTCTTGCTGCCTTTCATAAAAATACATAAGCAGGTTTTAATTTTCATCCTCGTGATCTTTTAATTACTAAATTAAAACTTCAAAATATCTTCTTTTCAAGTTTTTGACGTGCTGCCAACCCTCTTCTTCTTAATTAAAGTCATTTATGTAATGGTTTTCCCAACCTCTTTTTTTTCTTTTATTTTTTCTATAATTAACAACCAGAGTAAACTCAGCAGAGATATATTACAGTGAGACTGAGGACTTTATCTCTGAAGAAACTTTGAAGTGGAAGGTTACCTGCATCTAGTTTCACAATAAAATGCAAATACAATGCAATAAAACGTTCTTGCTGCCTTTCATAAAAATACATAAAGTGCAGTAATGTCAATCGCAAAGAGAGAGAGAGAGGGGTGAGAGGGTAACAAGAGAGAGGCAGGGCTGGATGGAGAGTCTGAGAGAGTGAGAGAGAGGAATGGGCAAAGACTGAGATGGAAAAAGAGATAAAGAGAGAGGAGGCTTTGCTGTCGTCTGCAGAATTTCACAGCAGTATCAGATTTCTATCCCTTCTACCAGCTCTCTCATTCCTTTGTTCATCCCTGTCGAGACTTCCACACTTCTGTTAACCTCCGTCACTCACACCAGCCGTCTGGGGTTCAAATATAAACACTGTGTGACTATAATGAAGCCGAAGCTATTATGAAAGCAGGTTTCCTGTGTTGTCACTGAATGGCTGCCACTCGTTCAGATGCACGTCAGTTTGAGTGTCTCTCAATGAACTGGGCAACATGCCTGGGGGTCTCTTATTTAGGATTAACTCTCGTGAGAGCTCTGTTTTATCAGCATGCTGTTAATGAGTTTGCAGACACCTCTTATTTACGGATAATTCACCCCAAAAAATGTAGATTTTATTAGCATTCACTCATCAGAACTGTTTTACTCTCCTTTTTCCATGGAACACTAAAGGAGAAGTTTTGAAGAACGTTCACACTGCTCTCTTTCATACAATGCAAGTAAATAGGGATCAGAGGTTATTAAGTCCCAGACAACAAAATAACATCAAAGAACTAGCAGCACTGAAAGCCGTTTGCTATTGCCTTGGAGCACCTAGGCCAAAAAAGTTGTGCATGAACACACCGCAAAGACTACAGCCAACAGCCAACTAGCATATGTTCTGAGCTTGCATGAGAGGAAATAACTCTCCATATCAGCAGGTGACAGTAGTCTGTATTTGTCATTCAAAAAAGGGAAACTGGAAGAGCTAGGACTGCAGATACACAAATCATAAACAAAGCAGCATCTTTATTGTTTGCTTGCTTTCGACACTTTTTTTTCATTAGTTTTTTGGTTCGCGATTCTTAACAGCAAATAATAATGATTTGCTCAACGCCGGCCCCTTCGGTGATTCAACATGCTCAATCGGCTAAAAAGCTGCTGCTGAGTGGTCCAATTAGTGCCAGTGGTGCAGAAAACAGTGCAAAAAGTAGGCCAACAGACACTGGCCTTACATTGCCCGATCTCTGACTTATTGCATCATGGCCTTCAGGCTTCAAAGGGGTCATTGGATGCCCATTTTCCACAAGTTGATATGATTTGTTAGGGTCTTAATGAAAAGTCTAAAACATACTTAGGTTAAAATTTCTCAGTGGTAGTGTAAAACAACACCCTTTTACCCTGTCAAAAACAACTCTTTTCACAGCAAGCCGATTCAGTGCATTTCCCTTTAAATGCTAATGAGCTCTGCTATCCCCGTCCCTCTCCCTCCGTGGGGAGACAGGCAGTTCTCTGAGAGACTGTAAACTTTAGCCGCATTCATCGTGAAACTTGCTAACTAGCACATTATTAGGAAAGGCCATTTGCAAAATTCATTAAAGGGGTCATATGATGCGATTTCAAGTTTTCCTTTCTCTTTGGAGTGTTACAAGCTGATTGTTCATAGATAAGATCCCTGAAGTTGCAAAGACTAAAGTCTCAAAACCAAAGAGATATTCTTTATCAAAGTTAAGACTATGCCACGCCCCCCTAAAACGACTCGTTCTAACACGCCCCCACATATCTACCTCACTATGTGGAAATATTAGCATAATGCCGCCCAAATGTTCACGCAAAGAAAGAAGGCGTGGTTTCAGTAACTGCAGTTAGTGTTGAAGCAGTCATGTCAGGGAGACGCTGTGTGTTTCTAGGCGAAAGCAAAAGCACTTTATTTGGCCTTCCGAAAGTAGATGCATTTTTTGGAATTTTTAAGATTACTTACAACAGAACAGCAATGCATTTTATGGA